AAAAGCGGCGAGGTCAGGGAAGAGGTACGGCAGGATGAGGCGGCTAAGCGCAACAGTGGCAGGGGAAGAGTAGTGTGCAACTACAACGTCGTACAAGGTCTTAGCACTCTTGTACTGACTAAAGTGCGCACGCTCAGTGGTCGGCAAGTGGCGGCGCACAGCAAGGCGGGCAGCAGCATCGCGGGTGGCCCACTGTGAGCGAACAGTGGCGTCAGCATCAGCAGCAGGGGGGGGAGAGGCACCAGAAGTGAGGTCAAAGAGGGAGAGACCGTCTGCCCTATCGCACTGTAGGAAAAGCTGCAGATCATCTACCCAGACCTCAAAGTCAACAGCCCGACCCTCAGCGTCAAAGGTGAGAACACTGGGGGTGGCCATGACAGCAGTAGACGAGCAGTGAGAGCAGCAGGCTAAGGGCAGTGCAGTGGCAGAGGCGCTGCTCTTACCGGGCAGGCGAGAAGGGCCGAGGCTCGCCAGGAGGGACAGGGCCGCGACTGCAGTGACGGCGGCAACTCGGCTGCGGCGGCTGAGGCAACGGCGGCAACAGCGGCTCGGCGGCAACAGCGGCTCGGCGGCTCGGCTGCTTGGCGGCTCGGCGGCTCGGCGGCTCGGCGGCTCAACGGCTCAGATGCTCGGCGGCTCGGCGGCTCGGCGGCGCGGTGGCAACGGCAGCAACGGCGGCTCGGCGGCATGGCGGCAACAGCGGCTCGGCGGTTGGCAGCTCGGCGGCTCGGCGGTCTCGGGGCCGTGAAGGGTGGCGGTGGGGCCACAGAGGGGCGGCGGCGAGGCCGCAGTAGGGCAGCGTCGGGGCCACTAAGGGGGGCAGAGCCGGGGAAGGGCAGCGACGTGGCCGCAAGGGGTGGCGACGGGGCCGCGAAGGGGCGGCGACGGGGCCGCGGAAGGGCGGTGACGGGGCCGCAAGGGGCGGCGACGGGGCCGCGGAAGGGCGGCGACAGGGCCGCAAGGGGCGGCGACGGGGCCGCAAGGGGCGGTGACGGGGCCGCGGAAGGGCGGCGACAAGGCCGCAAGGGGCGGCGACAAGGCCGCAAGGGGCGGCGACGGGGCCGCGAAGGGCGACGGGGCCGTGGAGGGGCGGCGACGGGGTCGCGTAAGGCGGCGACAGGGCCGGTAAGGGCGGCGAGGGGGGCCGCGAAGGCGGGGCGACGGGGCCGCTAAGGGCGGCGAAGGGGTCACGTACGGCAGCGTGAGGAGGGCGCGACGGGCCGCGTAAGGGCAGCACACCGAGCGCGCCTCGGGCAGGGGCGACGCGCGCCCCGGGCAGGAAAAAAAAGATCGATTTGGGTGGGCCCAAGGAAAAGTTCCCACTAGGGAACCTGCTCTGAAACCATGTGAAAATGAGAACGAGGAATGATGTGACTAGCAAGAATGGGAGTACAAATATGCAACCCTAGAATTGTGTACCCCCTAAGGCTAAACCCACTGTAGCCTACAAAGCTACAACATATATAATGTTTGACACACGCAACAAAAAAAACCAACGTTATCGCGAAGAGAAATGCTGACCGTCGCCGCCGCCCGGTAACGTACCAGTCAGGGAATTACGAATTGCTCGACAAACAGAACTTAAGACTGCCTGGCGTACCGAAATTGCGACCGCGTTACTGTGGACCATTCCAAATCAACCACATGATCACCGCGCATTTACCGCTACCGACCGACTGGTACATCAGCCCGTCGTTCCACGTCATCCTGCTTCGCCCATACATTCCAACCACAAGCCAACTGCCTCGCCACCGCCCGCCATCTATGACTCGCTGTGCATCGGAGCCAATCGTCGAGCGCGAGAAGATTCTGAGCCATCAGATTCGCCACTCCACAGGCATTAAGAGGATCGAGTTTCTCGTTCGCTGGAAAGACCGCAAGCGAACTGAAGATAGCTGGGTGCCCATGGTCAACATTGAAAAACACCCTGCACTGCAAGTGTATCTAAGGAGCCGGGGTTTCCGCGATATACACGCACTCGCGTAGCGGAGGGGGCTTCTTGAGGGGGGGGTAGTGTAAGGATTTTTTTTGGCATCCCTGACTAAACCCTTCAACATCGCGTACATCAACACCCTTTGTTTGCCCGTTACTGCTAACGGGGCTTCGCCAACTTCGTGCACTGTTTTACCAAACCTTGCACCGCTGGCCCGGCCGTGTCGGCCTTCTCTTCGGGACTAGCCCGAACCTCGATGCCAGCCTAGCACTAGCTAGCTCGCACGTACTGCGTTACCGTTTGCATGTTTCACGTATAAGTATTCGCTCACGCCTTCGCTCATACTTTGTACTCGTTTGACACCTAGTGCAATCCTCGCTATCTCGTTCCATTACACCCTTAACACTAAGTAAGAAAAATCAGTGAGTTTTAAGATAGAAATATTTGCCGCGCACAATGGTTTTTCGCTTCTTGAACAATGTTGCTGCCCAATTTCGCCAAGGGTGCAGAGTTATTGCGCTTTCAACACAGTTTTGTTTCCATTGCTCCACAAAACGGTTGGATCACTCCGCTAAGGTCGACGGTCACCCAAATGTCAACGCAACATTTCGGGCAATCAAAGTTGAAAACCTTCTTTAGTAACATTTTATCAAGGGAGTCATCAAACCTAAACAGCAAGCAGCAAGGCGTCAACGGTTGATGCTCGTCCACACTGGTGAATGATTCCAATGGCATACCATCAAGGGGGTCATCAATCAACCTTAATTACCATTAGGCAGCGTGTTTAGTGTTAAAAAATTCTTCATGCGTTTTTTTTTTTTTTTTTTTTTTTCCTTTCTTCATGTTTTTTTTTCTTTTCTTTTCTTTTTTCGTGGGCCCAATCCAGTTTGATTGCCTCGATCACACGCGACCAACAGCTTCCAGGAAGCCCAAAAACCAATTTCATGCAATTAGGGGCAATCAGGTGATCGCGATTAACTGATCGCTCCAACTCGATAAGACCAGATTTTCACCCCGATCAGATCCGATTTTCCTCGGTCACAGGCGATCCCCTGATTGCATGTGATGGGGGCCTATAGCGATGCTTGCAATCAGTTACACTGTTGCACTTACTGGAAAACTAATATTTTCGCAAGGTGACGTCTGGTCGCCAATCTCGCTAAAACGGGAACGAAAGTGTCGGGTAAATGTATCGCGCTTTCTGAGCAGGAGCTGATAGCCTTCTTCGAAAAACATCACTGATCGGGCGGCTCGGGCACTGTGATCACAAGCAACCCGATCAGATCCAACCCTATCAGATCAGTCGCGATCAAACTCGATTGGGCCCACGTTCTTATTGTTTTCTAAGACACTAGTCTCGGTTTGTAGTCATGTGGGACCATCTGTGGACCAATGAAAGCAAACGTGCGTCGAAAGCTCAAGAACTCTCTGCCCTGAGCAAAAAATGGGTAGAAACCCCGCGCCAGAAGCTATAGTACTGCGCTTTTGGCGTGTGCAGTAGTTTCCTTCGCTTGGGTCGTACCCAGTCAAGTGTCAAGTTACTGTTGGTGTCAAGCGTGTAATACGGTTGACACCAAGTGGAGCCACGTATGAGCGCGGCTCCAGCCTGGTGTCAATGTTGGGCACATTGGGAGATTTCCCGCAATCGCATTGGTCGGTTTCGCTGACACCAGGAGGGATAGTCCTCCATGTGTTGTCCGAGTTGGTGTCATGACACGTGCCCATCTTGACACTTGAGTGGGATACGACCTGAAACTGTACAAATACCTTAGAAGGTGTCTCATGTGTCTGGTCCGCCCAGACCTGGTCCGTGGCTGAAATGTGCACCCCTGTTCCGAATTTCCGGTCCGATGTACCCACTTCGCAGACCAGGCGTGGGACCAGACACGGACTGGTCTGCATGATACAGTTTGCGAATCGCAAAAGTAACTACGCGAATCAAACATGCTGTAATCGAGCTACCATCTTTCTGCGCCACTAAAAAATTCCATACCGTCGAGCACGAAAGTCATGAATGGCGAATTGCTACAATTTTCGGACCAGCCACGGGCTGGTCTGCTGACTAGATCAATGGCACCGTTGTAGTGCCATTCGAACGCCCATTCGAGGTTTAAACTCCCGAATCCCGGACCAGTCCGTCGCTGGTTCACGCGTTGGTACTCGAGCTGGGCCATCAGGTCCGCTTCGGACCCACGTGGACTCGGGTAGTTGAGACACGTCCTTGGCGAAACACATTTGACAAGTAACCCTTTGCTCAGGGCGCGTTTCTACCCGCTCCAGTTTTGACTAGTGCCCTCACGCACCAAACAAAACAAGGGAAGCTGGCCACCGAGCAGTTTTACAAAAGTTACACATGTAACCAGCTAGAGCATTTATGGTCCCTTGAGGCTGGTACGTTGCGAATTCTCCAATTGAGAAGCACATTTCAGTCCACGCCTGCCCGAAAAGCTGGTGCGACTGTGTGGGGCGTCATGTCCACCCGCAATGCTGACTCAGTTGATCAATGTCCAGTCAGCATGGCCCGGAAAGTCAACACAAAGCCAACAATAAGAATTCCAGGACCAACAGCAACCCACCCCGCGAAGGCTCATCCCCCCCACCAACCAATCCAAACCAAACAGCTTCACCTGTTATTGGCGGGGCGCGCGCAACAGTCAGAACTTCACATTCATTGCCCAAGCATTCCCCCACCAAACACCTGTCCCATGCTGTTTCACAATCCAGCATCCACAATTTCCACATCCAAGACTTCCCATGTTTGTCTCAGATTTCTCGGACTCGTGAACTTGTCTCAAGGCTACCTTCAAGCTCGAGTTGCGGCAAATTTTTGTAGTTAATAATAAAGTTGACTGGAAAATCTCGGCGGACCCTGCTCTCTGCTTAAAGCAACATCGAATGGGTTTCTTTTGCTGCTTTTCTGGAACGAATTGTGAGTCATGAGAGTTATGAGAAAAGGTACCCTGCACGAAGGAACTTAGTATTACTCTCACACTTCTAAGCGTCATGTTGGACTCTGCGTCCAAATTTCGCTTCTCTGAGAACAGAAAACTATTTTCTCAGCTTTCTTTCACATAATTTCTCCAGGCGAATTAAACTCCTTTTCTCGTTCCCTAAGAGAGAGAGAGAGAGAGAGAGAGAGAGAGAGAGAGAGAGAGAGAGGAGAGAGAGAGAGAGAGAGAGAGAGAGAGAGAGAGAGAGAGAGAGAGAGAGAGAGAGAGAGAGAGAGAGAGAGGGAGAGAGAGAGAGAGAGAGAGAGAGAGGAGAGAGGAGAGAGAGGAGAGGAGGGAGAGAGAGAGGGAGGAGAGGAGGAGGAGGAGAGAGAGAGGAGGGAGGGAGGGAGGGAGGAGGGAGGGAGGGAGGGAGGGAGGGAGGGAGGGAGGGAGGGAGGGGGGAGGGAGGAGGGAGGGAGGGAGGGAGGGAGGGAGGGGAGGGAGGGAGGGAGGGGAGGGAGGGGAGGGAGGGAGGGAGGGAGGGAGGGAGGGAGGGAGGGGAGGGAGGGGAGGGAGGGGAGGGAGGGGAGGGAGGGGAGGGAGGGAGGGAGGGGAGGGAGGGAGGGAGGGAGGGGGGGAGGGGAGGGAGGGGAGGGAGGGGAGGGAGGGGAGGGAGGGGAGGGAGGGGAGGGAGGGGAGGGAGGGGAGGGAGGGGAGGGAGGGGAGGGAGGGGAGGGAGGGGAGGGAGGGGGGAGGGAGGGGAGGGAGGGGAGGGAGGGGAGGGAGGGGAGGGAGGGGAGGGAGGGGAGGGAGGGGAGGGAGGGGAGGGAGGGGAGGGAGGGGAGGGAGGGGAGGGGAGGGAGGGGAGGGAGGGGAGGGAGGGGAGGGAGGGAGGGAGGGGAGGGAGGGGAGGGAGGGGAGGGAGGGAGGGAGGGAGGGAGGGAGGGAGGGAGGGAGGGAGGGAGGGAGGGAGGGAGGGAGGGAGGGATAATCTTAGCAATCACCATACCTTTCTCCTCCGCTTCTTCCTCTCCAACAATTACTACCCTTTCCACCATTCTCCGTTCCCCTCCACTCCGCACCTAGTGGCTATGCGGGCGGGGGCAGACAGCACGGTGCTGCCATACTGCTGCTCTCTGCACAACCATTTGTCCACTGTCCCCACTCCCCTCTTCCCTGCTTCCTCCCAAAAGACCATGAGTCCGTGGTGATGCGCGCGGTGGGGTCGGACGGGACGTTGCCGCGGTACTCGCAGGACGAGCTGCGGCGGATGACGGGCGACTGGCGCACCAAGCTGGGGGAAGGCGGCTTCGGTGCCGTCTACAAGGGCGTGCTGCTGCTGCCGCACGGGGAAGCGCGCAGGGGAGGGGATGGAAAAGGGGATGGGGGAGGGTGGTACGAACGGGACGAGGAAGAGGTGCAATGGGGGTTGGGGCCCGGGACCATTGATGGTTTGGAAGTGGTGGAAGTAGGTGGGAGGGAGTTTGTTCCGGTGGCGGTGAAGATGTGCTTGACTGACGATGATGAGAGTGGGGCACGAGAGCAGCTGCTGGTGAGTGGTAGATACAAGTATGATTGAGTTACATACGATTACTTGGTTGATAAGTTACAAATGAACGAGTTTCAAATCTATACCTTTCTGGTGATTTCAGCTCTTAACATATACCTAATGATGAGAGCGGGGCAAGAGAGCAGTTGCTGGTGAGTAATGGATACTCTAGCACATGTAAAGTTAAGTATGAATACTACTATGATTGAGTTACATATGAACACTTTTTGGTGAGTCACATACGATTCACTTACCTGATGAGCTACAACTGGATACTCTCCTGGCGATTCCAGCTCTTACCATAAACCCGAAATTTTCCTTCATCCCCCCCCCCCCCCCCTCCTTACATCTCCTCCCTCTTCCCCCCTCAGCCAAACATCATAACAATGACAGCTCTGTACGCTTTGTCATTGTCCCTTCCCTTCCCCTCCCGCTCAAACCCTCTGCACCCATCTCTCTTCCACGGAGGCCATGGCGATGACTGCTCTACACCATCCCAACGTTCTGCGGCCACTGGGAGTGGCTTGGGGGAACCACTAAACAAACCCACGTGCACCCACCCTTATGTCAGATGTCAGGATGGAATCATGATCATGACGCACTCCAACTTCTCCTCCTCTTCACCTTCGCCCCCTTCTCCTCCTCTCACCCTCCTTGTTCAGATGATGACTGCCTGCACCGTTGGCCCTTCCCCTGCCTCTCCCTTTTTCCCCATCCCCCCATCAGACGGAGGTCATCACAATGACTGCGCTGCACCATCCCAACATTCTGCACCTACTGGGAGTGGCTGTCCTGGGGCGAACCATCATACACGCCCACTCATTTCTGACCCCCTGCACCAACCCTCGTGGATGGCAGGGGGGTCATGCTTATCGTGATGCTTCCCCATGTTTCTCCTCCCTCTCCCCCCACCCCTCATCAGACAGAGGTAATGATGATGACTGCGCTGCACCATCCCAACATTCTGCGCCTGCTGGGAGTGGCTGTCCTGGGGAAACTCGATTTCTTCTCTCAGCCAGTCATTGCCATTGTCCCTACCCTTCCTCTCCCCCCACCCTTCATCAGACAGAGGTAATGATGATGACTGCGCTGCACCATCCCAACATTCTGCGCTTGCTATGAGTGGCTGTGATGGGTCAAACCCTCGCCATGGTCTCTGAGTTCGTCCCGGGCGGAGATGTTTCCCAGCGGTTGAAGAAAGGTACAGGAGGGTAGAATGGGGTGGAATGTGGTGGAATGGGGTGGAATGGGGTGGAATATGGTGAGTCTGTGTGCACATGATGGGTCGGATCACTGCCTTGGACTCTGAGTGCGTTCTGGGGAGGGGGAAAGGGAGGGGGGTGGGGAGATGTTGCCCAGCACGGGGGGAGATGTTGCCTAGGATTGGGGGGAGATGTTTTTTAGCTCCTCAAGAAAGGTAACATGGTGTTGTGTGGTGTGATGTGAGGAGGGGGGGTACTTCGTTCCCAACACCTGATGGTCCTCTAGGTGCGGAAAGGCGCAGCAATAGCTGGAACAAGCCTAGTAGCAGGTTCTAGGCGCCTCAAAACTACCTGAAAGCAACTGGGACAAGCAACTGCAAGAATCAACCGGAACTTGATCTCTCACCCCTTGCCTTCCTTTCATCCTCTCATTCCTCACAGTTCATAACTCAGGTGCCGCCCTGCTCACCCCTCCTGGTCCAAGCCACAAGGAATGGCACAGACGCCCTTCCCCTGGAAGCACCGGCTGCGCATCGCCAGGGGGCGTCTTGAGGGGCTGGTAGTTATTCACAGGGGGAAATTTTTTCTTAGTGTCAACTCAAACTCCCCCCCCCCCCCCCCCCTCCCTTCCCCATCTGTGCGCAAGCAGCAGCAAAAGGCGTGGAGCCCTTTCCCTGGAAGGACCGGCTGCGTGTAGCCAGGGGGAGTCTTGAGGGGCTGGCTGCTATTCACAGGGAGGGATTCATCCACCGCGACTTCAAGGCCGCCAATGTGCTTCTCACGAAGGTAGGCTCCTGTTGTGTGCTTCTAACGAAGGATGGCTCCTGTTGTGTGCTTCTAACGAAGGTGAGTCAATTCAGTGGGCTCATATTTCTAGTCCACAGGGAGCGATTCACCCACCGCGACTCAGAATACGCCTGGTGACGTTTGTGTGCGTTACTCTAAGTGAGGCCACATTCACAAAACGTCTCAAAACGCATCGTCCATGGTTTCGACTCAGGCTGGCCAGGATGCTTGAATGAGGTCAGGATGCTTGAATGAGGTCAGGATGCTTGAATCATGTCAGGATGCTTGAATCAGGTCAGGATGCTGGAATGAGGTCACGATGCTTGAATGAGGTCAGGATGCTTGAATGAGGTCAGGATGCTTGAATGAGGTCAGGATGCTTGAATGAGGTCAGGATGCTTGAATCAGGTCAGAATGCTTGAATGAGGTCAGGATGCTTGAATCAGGCCAGGATGCTTGAATGAGGTCAGGATGCTTGAATCAGGTCAGGATGCTTGAATGAGGTCAGGATGCTTGAATGAGGTCAGGATGCTTGAATGAGGTCAGGATGCTTGAATCAGGTCAAGATGCTTGAATCAGGTCAGGATTGGTTGAATTATGTCAGGATGCTTGAATCAGGTCAGGATGCTTGAATGAGGTCAGGATGCTTGAATGAGGTCAGGATGCTTGAATCAGGTCAGGATGCTTGAATGAGGTCAGGATGCTTGAATCAGGTCAGAATGCTTGAATCAGGTCAGGATTGGTTGAATTATGTCAGGATGCTTGAATCAGGTCAGGATGCTTGAATGAGGTCAGGATGCTTGAATGAGGTCAGGATGCTTGAATCAGGTCAGGATGCTTGAATGAGGTCAGGATGCTTGAATGAGGTCAGGATGCTTGAATGAGGAACCGGCGCAGAAGCTGTCGCGAGCGCCGCCCGGACTTGGTCCGCGCAGTAGTCCGAGGTTCCCACTGGGCTCCCCAACACCCGTTATACCGTCTCTGCTCAGTGCGAGGCCGTGCGGCAGCTCGGTGGTCGCGGATTCTACCGCGAACATTCCCCACGCTGACGATTTGGGGATGTTACATCGAAGTCCGCACCGTGCCAGCTCCGTCACGATAATCTCGAACGCTTTGCAAGCCTCCTCGCGCGGGCCGACGATGGCTATGTCGTCGGCGTAGGCCATCACCGCCACCTCCGGGACGAGCGACTCCGCGCTTTGTAGGGTCGGCTGAATTGCCGCGGCGAAGAGCAGCGGTCCGAGCGGGTCCCCTTGCTGTACCCCGCGCGACGAGAGAATATGGTCCACTCCCATTCGCCGGTCAACTAGCAGGCGCGACGGTTCGCCGTAAAGCGTAGAAACGAGGGGCATGAGTTGCTCTAAGTTCCCGAGTGACAGCGTGTTGAAGAACACCGCGCGTTCGACGCTGTTGAACGCGTTCTCGACATCGAGTTGCAGGGCAATATGGTCCCTATTCTCCTGTAGCAACGCGCATACTGTGTGAATAATGCATTCCGCTCCCCCCATGACCGAAACTCCACATTGCACCGGTAGAAAAAACTCGCGGATTTTCGGGGCCAATTCCTTCAGCGCCGCCTTCGCCGCTACCCGCAGTATTGTCTCTCCTATGGCGATCGGCCTCACTCTGCCACCAGGTTTCTCCAGCGCTAACAGGCGGGAGGGCAGGATAATATCGCGCACAGCTTGGGTTTGCTTCCCATTCAGTAAGCCGCGGATGACTTGCGTGAGGAGGAGTAGCACTTCCCCATTGCATTGGGCTGGATCTTTGAGGTGCTCGAAGCAGGTTCCCGAAGGACCAGCCCCGATTCCATTCGGGCACTTCGCCAGGATTTCGCGAATGTCGTCCGGCGATAAGCAGATCGACGAGGACGTCTGCTCGGTTACCCAATTCGGGATTTCCAACCCCGCAACAGGGTGCTTCGATTGTAGGGCGGAGAGGGTTGCTGGTGTAGCCCTGGCAAGTGGGGTTGTTTGCAACGCCGCCACTGCCTTTGAAATATTTCCCTTTTTAACCAACCCCTCCGCTCGTGCACAGAGCCCCGCTTCATCCACCGGCTGTCGAACTTGCTCGCCTGTAACAGGGATAGCACACGCGTCGGTGTACAAGTCCACCCAGTCGCCCAACCTGAAATGCTGCAGACGTGTCTCTATCGTGGCCCATCTGCTCCCTTCCACAGGTTCAGGTGGTGGCCGCAAAGTTAGCCTCGGCAGGTATTGTAGGATTTTCCAGGCCCCTGGCCAGTCAGGTTTTTGACTGAGGCGCAGGAGTGGGGCGAGCAGGCACAGTGTGTAGCTTTCCAAGAGCTTGGGAGGCATCCGCCGCACTAGGAAGGGCTGATCCTGTCTCTGGAGCGGCGCCAAGTCCCAACCACCCGCCATCTCCCAAATGGCATCCATACTCGACAGCTCAGCTGGCGATTTCTCGCTCGGTTGCCGCGTCTCCCCGCCAGCCGCCTCTGCACCCGCTGTCTGGGGATTTTCCCGACCTTCATTCCGTCGTCTCGCCAGTCGTCGGATTT